GTCCACGTTATAACAGGAACCTTCTATCATATAGCTGGTGTGTGGGGAGCGTTCTGGCGCACTATGGCTGCTGTTGCATCATCCAGGTGGGGCTGCACACTGGTGGTGGTGGAGGGGATCCCCATTACCTGTAAAGCGCTTTGAGTGGAGTGTCCAGAAAAAGCGCTATATAAGTGTAAGCAATTATTATTATTCTATTTCTCTCATTTGTAAAATCTGACAAATGCAGATTTGTGGTTGGATACATCTCTAAAAAAGTCTGTGTGAACATTTTCCCAGCAGTACATTTACATATGCAAGCACTTCCCACAACTTTTAATTTGAATAATGTGAGCTCTGAATAAACCATTAAAGCACATCTAGAAGTTTTGACTTCCTCAGCCATTTGTCATCGTGTGCAGTTTGCAATGTCTACTTGATTCGTTAATGTGCGGTGAGAGACCAGGCTTAAATGCAACAGTAAGAATGTGAAATCAGGGATTCCATGAAAACTGTACCCTGGTTTTCACTGTTATTGAACTGGGGATGGTGGAAAGTCCATAAGGTAGCTTATAGACACGCCGCAATGTTTGGGGTGCCCAGGGGGGCGCAGCGGGTACTCACTCGGGCGGGGCCATCTTGCTGGGGTCCACGTCATGCAGGAACTCGCTCTGCAGGGCCTGCTCCGCCGTGCAGCGCCGCGCGGGGTCAAGGGTCAGCATGCGCTCCAGCAGGTCCAGAGCCGCACTGGGGAGACTGGAAAGGGAATTAAAGGGGAGGGTGAGGCTCACGTCTACCCAGACGCGCCAAGAAACACGCAGCCCTGGCACATTCAATTACAGTCTGCGCAGAGTCATGGCCTGTTCTAGGGAGAAAGAGCTTAGTCATGGACTGCTCTAGGGAGAAAGAGCTGAGTCATGGCCTGCTCTAGGGAGAAATAGCAGGAATGCATGTATCTAGCGTTGTCTATCCCCAACAATGCTGTGTACCTATAGCAGAGGAACCCCTTTGTCCACCTCTGAAATGCAACCATCCTGCACCACTGCATTTCAGATCAGGTGGAGAAGGGAGAAACGACGCCACCAGCTGAATTAAGGGTGAACTTCTGAACTGTCTCCTGGTCACTATACTAGAGCACTGGATTTGTAAGCTCTCTTCCAGATAGAAAATCAGTGAAACCTTCTTGTGAAATACAGAGATGGCAGAAGTATACACACATACATGTGCACAGGTGTGACTATGAACTGCTCATTTCATCTGTGAAAAACAGACAAGGCCAACGTGTCATACATATGTCTGCACATATTCTGAACCCCTGCCGAAGCGGTTCTGTGCCGGAGAGGTGTGACCAAGGAGCTGCATCAGCATTCGGAGTGCATGTGATCAAGCAAAAGCTCAAACGCTGTGAAGAGCAGAGCGAAAGGTCAAAGAGCTTGGGTTTTCTTCACACCTGAAAAGCTCTGCGTTTGGACACTCACCCGCTGGGCCCATTCACACACTTCCTACTTTTCCTCACACTTTCCAGCGTGGAAGTAGCCCGTGCGTGTTCCCTATGGCTCTGTGCCGTTAGTTCCCGGCTGACACACACACGGACATACAGACAAAAGGCCTGCCCACGTACAAGGCGAACTCCTCGCGCACGCGCCTGCGGTACTGCTTCTTGGGCTTCATGGTGTTGAAGTAGGGGAGCTTGATGACGTCGGGCCACACGGCTGGGCAGGGGCTGCCACACAGCCGGCTGAGGAGAGAGAAGACAAGGCCGGACACAGCACCATGTCACAGGGGAGCCAGACCAAGACAAACAGTGACCCCTACTGACCACACAGGGGAAAAGCCTGTGGACACCACACTAGGCCCAGCCAGTGCTACAGACGTGCTATACCCACAGAATCTTCATTAAGTTAACAAATGTACAGTACTATTCCTATTTAAAATGATGTGTCCCATTATACATATATATTCTCTATTGTCAACTGAAGTATTGTCTTATATACAGTCCTTGTAACTTGTATGTTTTTCAACGCTTCAACACAGTTGAAAAGTGGGTCTTCTTAAAAGATTAACTGCAAACACACAAAAAAACTCAAAGTGCATTTATTTAGAAAGCAGTAATTCAGGTCTGTGTGCGCCCTATCTGTAGCACTTGGCCATAAATCAGACTTAATACTGTATTGTACAGTGCAGTTACAGCCAATAGCCAGCAGAGGGCACCATACCTAATGAGCTCCAGTTGGGCCAGCTCCTGATTGGCCTGGAATATGGGCTTCTTAGTAAACAGCTCACCCAGGATACAACTACACACAGAGAAAAAGATAAAAAACACAGAAATGCATTAATGTTCTATTTTTAACTGCAGCCCTTTGGATAAAACTGCACTAAAAATAAGGGACCCTTCACCCCACGCTGTCAGAAATAAATGAGGTTATAACTACTCAGTAGATCACAAGTAAACCAAATCTTCAAGCAACGGACTGTCACATGCAGCTGACTGCCCTTTTGAACAGATGAGCGACGCAGTCTTACTGCAGTGATAAAATGTTAAGAGTGACACCATGTGGGCATTCTGAGCCAGTGCAGTCTGTTTACTGTTACTGTGGGGAGCAGCAACAGCCCTGAAAAAGCTCAGGAACAGGCTGGGGGGAGCCGTTCAAGCTCGAAAAAACAACATCTGGAAAGACTCCACAACCTGTATGGTACTATAAACATTTAATACCCTATGCAAAGAGCAGGGGTGCAGTTTTTCCTCTGTAGTGCTGAATAATCAAAGGATGACCTTAGTGCAGATTAAAAGAAAGCAGATCAGAGTCGAGTTCAGCTGTGCACACCTCTGACATCACATGCAGCGTTTATACATACGGAGAGATGCACGCAAACCCTGTTTTGTGGCACAACCCTCTGCCGGCAGCGAGGCTCCTGTCTGTGCCACCGGCTTAAAGCACAGGGGAGGCGCTGTGGTTGCCAGGGCGACTCACCCGCAGCTCCAGACGTCGATGGCTGGAGTGTAGCGTTCCTCGCCCAGCAGCAGCTCGGGGGGGCGGTACCACAGCGTGATCACCTTGTTGGTATACGGCCGACTGCAGGTGGGGAGGGGAGGGGTGCAGTACCAAGATTGTTAGCGAGAGGCCCACAGGAAGACTGGCACTACCTTGCATTACACAGATAGACAAGGCCATTTTGAATTACAGATGTTACAACCAATCCTGTCTCAGTCTAGCCAGCTGCATGTAACTCAACTGCAGTTGACCAGACCCCTCCACGTCCATCGCTTTCAAGGCCAGAGGGAGCCTGCAGCCCCCCTGTTCCAGTGGACTGGCTTGGAACGTTCCTGCACTACACACCCACCCTGTGCATTATTATTCATCACGCCCTAGTGATGATGACACTAAAAACGTGAGATTCATTTGCTTGTCCTTGGCTTTGTAAAATAAAAAAGGAATTTACAGTAACGAACACGTATAACTATGAGAATAAAAAATAAGGCCAGAAAAAAAAAAAGTACCTGCTTTGCTCTTTTCTATTTTCTATTGTTGGATTAGCCCACCCTCAAGCTTTGCACTACAGATATTCTATCTGCCACCTGTATATCTTTGCTTCAGTATGATATTTATTTTAACCACCTACCATATTGGTTCCAACTGTAAATTCCACTTAACAGTCATCCATATGTTTAAAACTTCCCTTTGTGTTACCTTTAAATGCTATTTGGGAACCAAGCAGATGACCATGTTCGTGTCAGTGGCATAGTTTGGGGATAAGATCACTACATTACACACGGCAGTAGTTTCACAAGCCCCAGTTAGCACCAATCTTACGACTAGCTTATGTTAGTTTCTGCAAGAACATTCAGGACTGTGGCTGATCGGTGCCTGCAATATCAGTACAAGGTGTCTCATGCAGCAACTCTGGGATCACCAAGCTAACAGCAACAACATAAGGAAGATGGACAGAACAGGCTCGTCTTGCTGCCTGTGCTCTTAATCAGGCAGGGAAAAGCACACCAAGAATAGTTTTACAAATACAGTGCTTCAGAAGAAATAACAGGTGAACTTGAAAGCAGAGTGTAAATAAAAACTACAGATGTCATAAAGATGCCAAGATCTCCTGCCAGTATGATTACAATCCAATTTCCCTTCGTGTTCACAGCTGACATCACACCTCACTAGATATTGTTTAGCTTAGCTGTTCATTTTGAAATGCATTAAACACTGAGCATTTAACAATTAGGCACTTTATCTTCCAATGTGCTTTATTCCCGAGATGTCCAGCCCTGATCCTGAAGAACCACAGTGTCTTGTGTTTTTTTTTAATTGCAGTTCAGCTCTGAATGACTTAATTGGATCAACGGGTTGCTTAAATAGGAGTGAAAATGCTCCCCAGACCTCAGCTTACTGCTCACATTAAAGGGTATCAGCAGACCCTGCAGGACTGTGGCTCTCCAGAAGCAGGGTTACAGACCCATAATTGACATGTTTGTTTCCTGTCAAAATGATACATAGACTTGACCTTGATGTTGTCAGTTGACATCTTGCCTACTTTCAGATACAAATACGGCAGCAAAGCTACGAAACTCGGAGTAAAGGTGCATGCAGTTCTAGAAATCAGATGCCAGTGAGTGGTTATATACCGCCTCCTCGGCCCTGCGGTGTAGCCTCGTCTTACCTCTCCTCCGAGTTGTAGAGCCGTGCCAGGCCAAAGTCTGCCAGCTTGATCTGCCCACTGGCAAGAGGAGACAGAAAGGGAGAGAGAGAGTTTCATGAAGAACTGGGCGGCAGGCAACAGCCAAGACATGTGGCAGAGCGCCTTCGCCCCCGTCCTTGACCGGTCGTATTCTGCCCTCTGAAAGTCCCGGGACAGCAAAGTCCAGCCATATCGTTGCTTTACACTCAAAACAATTTCTATTTGTCATCACGAGATTAACTTAAAGACGAAGGATGAAAATTTTGTTTCTTGGGTACTTCCACTACTAGAAATTCAATCATATTAGAATCAAAACAAACTAGGGTGACCCTCATGATTTTACATGACTATAAATACTGGGACACACTCACTTTATATTTTGGAGAGTTCATGTCTGTTTGCAAACCTATCTATTGCTGCAGTCAGTTTGAGTTCTTCCCTAATTGTGGGATACTCCAACTTCTATTTTATCTCTAGCATGTAAAATGCATTTAAATCTACATCTGGAGCTTGATGTTGTGAGATTTTCCACTTTTTTTATGCTCCAAGGTTGCACTGGTTGTACATTTTTTGTTATTGCTTGAATCACTGCCCTATTACTATGAGAGCATTTCTTCTACATAAAGAGACACAATGTTTTATGTCAATTTCAGAATTCATTATCATTATGCATCACAGTTCACTATTCTACTGCCAGTTACATCCTCAATAAAGAAGGCGAACCAGCTCAGCAGGGGCCATACACGTCCAGGACAGCAGGGTTTCGGAACAAAGTTAATGGACAGATGTGATCTCAACCAAAATGATGCGAAAGTGGCTAAAATGTGCATAAAGAAAGGGACTGCAGATGCTTTAAAGCACACCCCTGCTACAACGAAGCATGACCTGGCCTTAGCGAGTACGACATGCAGTTTTACACTCTGAAAGTGACATAACAGCGAATGTGTTCCAATCCACATGTAATCACCGACTGAACACTGTTTCATCATTCACCTGAATCCCACCGTTCAAAATAAAACGTAAAACAAGAACAATATTTTTGAAAGGCAGTGTATATTCAAGCATCGTAACTGTTCTAGACATTAGACAAATACGAGCACTCAACATAGTCACACACAATCACAAAGGGCCTGTTACATTGTAACACTTGTATTTCTCTACACACGATGCTGTTTTTCATGACTGCCGACACTGACGAAAGAAGGACGCATTTCCCCAGCAAAACACAACATGTGGCAACACCCGGCCACCATACCTGTTGTTTAGCAGGATATTGGAGCACTTGATGTCCCTGTGCAGGAAGTTCTTCTTGTGGCAGTAGTCCAGGCCCTCCATCAACTGCCTCATGAAGCTCTTGATGTGATCCTGAGAGAACTGCACCAGCCCCGACTCCAGCAGCCCCATCAGGTCATGGTCCATGTACTCAAACACCAGGTAGAATGCACCTGGACACAGGTAAGAGCCATGCAGAGGGTACGAACATGAACATCAAACAAGTTCAGATTGTCCAGCTCTCCCTTGAACAGCAGATTAATTTTTAATTCGGCATTATCAAGGCGCATTACATTACACAGCTTTCTTTATTCTGTCACATGTGGTCTTTATATTGATCCCTTTGGGACTGCGCTGTTCTGGAAGACTGAGGGCAGGTAAAGCTGCCAATGATCTGAAGGTTTCAGGACACAAGCAACACACCAGTCTATGCCACCGTCCACTGAAAACCACGCCTCCCACTCCCACCTTTGTCCTTCTTGAAATCCACGGCGTCCTGCTTGTCGGTGACGATCTCCTTCATGTTGACCACGCTGCGGTGGTTCAGCTGCCGCAGGATCTTGATCTCCCGGATGGCCGTGATGGGGAAGCCCTCCTTCTCGTTGTCCAGGCGCACCTTCTTCAGGGCCACCAGCTCGCCTGCGCGGGAGGGGGACCGGACAGGAGCTCACTTCCTGCACTCACCTCGGGCAAAACGTTACTACAGCGCCCTCCGCGATCAGCCGACGACAACCTGCATGTCGCTGGGTCGCGCTCAAGAGAACACAAGCGCGTAGCCCATTTTCACGAGCGCACTAGTGCTCAAAACTGTATGTGGCAACTACAAGCTAACTGGCACCAACAACACAAGACTTAGCTGCATCTTTGCATTGAAGAAGCAGCTGCCACAGTGCAGCACTTCGTACTCTGGGCACCTCTCAAAGGAAATGGAAGCTTTGCCCTTGCTCTTGGAACAAATGTTGTATTTTTGGGAGAGTAGTGCATCTATACCACACACTCGCCTTCTCTGTGGCACCTAACAAGTCCTGCACTCATTTGTCCTCTCTCTCCTATGCCAGGGAGGTCCAGCTCTGGCCCTGGAGGACTGGTGTGGTGTATGAGGGTGGGCCAGTGGACACACCTGCCCTGCAGACCCGGAACTGGACCCTACAGCCGTGCCATGCTTTGTGCCAGGTAGCGGGCAGACCATCAGGCCCCCCTGTCTCTCACCCGTGTCCTTGTCCTTGGCCTTGTACACCTGTCCATAGGTGCCCTCTCCGATGATGCCGATAATGTCAAACTTGTCCACGCAGCGCTTCCCCCAGTCGCTCTGTGTCTGCTTCCTCTCGCCATAGCGCGGACAGCAAAACCTGTCCCCAGAAACAAAGTACAAACCAGATTAGTTCCTGTC